GATGCTGTTTATCATTATTTATGTGATGATTTCAAAACAATCTCCAGGTTTAGCTTCCGTGTCTCCCTTACCTTGGGCACCCCTCATCCCTAAGCTGGTTGCATCATCTAACCTGCTCCACTTCCTGTTGGCTGCTGGGAGGGTGAGTTAGCTCAGCTCTCAGTCCGGGTAAGCAGGCACAGCACATTACACGGGTACTGTCACGCTCCCTCTATTTTCCATTTCACCTTAATCTATTTTGAGGAGTTACCTGAAACATCACTTTGTACCAATTGCCTCCGATTCTTTAGTGGAAGCAAATGCCATATGAATACAAAGCAGGAAAGTAACTTTGTGATCTTTATAAAATACACAAAGGGTTTCTGCAGTGCCAGTGTGAACCCAAACCGAGCCCGTCCTCTGAAAGCAGCGCTCCAGCTACCGGCACAGGGGCGCTGCTCCCGGCTCCCAAGTGCACACCCCCTGCCCCTTCCCTCACAGGCTCCCCTGTCTCCCACCTCCGGAAGCTTCCCTCGCTCTTCTCTATCTAAATGCTCTTCCTCGTGACATCATCCTGTCCCATGGCTTTAAATACCATTTGCACGATCGGGAAACTCAAATCTGAGTCACCAAGCTCCCTCTCTGACATCCAGATTCTTACTTCCGTCTGCATCCTTGACATCTCCACTTGAGCAGATAGTAATTATTTAAACTCACTGTGGCTGAAACGGAACTACCGGTTCCCACCTTGCTGCCGCCCACTACCCCATCACACTTGCCCCTTCCTCCCACCCCACCTTCCACAGCCTGCTTGGGCTGCCGTCAGCTCTTCCCCGGATGACAGCCCCAGGATCCTGCTGAACACCAGGCTCAGAGCACGCCCTGCTAAGTGCTCTTCTCCCAGATAACGCAGCATCTAAACCTGTGACGGTTTTCACCATAACCAGGCAAAGTCTAAGCCTCTTGGTCCGGTTCACATAGAGACCCCAGCCCCTCCTCCTTCCTTACACTCCACCAGCTTTCCCTCCTGGGTCTCCTCCTCTCCCAGGCGGCTCTTTCTGGACATTTCGGTTGGAAATGTGATGATCTCAAAATGATCTCCAGGTTTAGCTTCTGTGTCTCCCTCACCTTGGGCACCCCTCATCCCAGAAACTGGTTGCAGCGAGCTCACCTTGCCATCTCCTCTCTGTCACTTGGATCTCAGCTCAAAGTTTACCCACTCACTCAGAGAGGCCCCCCATGGCCCACCAAGCCCCTGCCAGTGACTGCCATCCCTAGCAGCCCAGGCTCCAAACACAGAGCCTCTGGAGGCTGAGGGCCCGGGGAAGGAAGCATTCTGTCTCCTGCCCACCGGGAGCTGGAGCATCAGCAGGTGCCTGAGGCATAGCCAGTGCTGCCTTCCAGGATCCCAGCTCCCAAGGGGCAGCCCCCAAATTCCAGGTCAGGAGGCCATGGGGCCGGATGGAGAGAGTGGCGCCAGGCTCCCAGCCCCTGCGGTGGTGCTACAGCGGGCACCTTGGATGGATGCTCCCGCAGCATGCCTCTCCCTGCCCCTGACTAAGTCTCACCAGCTTCCAAAACTCCGCACTGTCTAACCGGGCTGGAGCTCCAGGGTGCGCTGTTTGCTAGTCAGGCCTCCAGCGGGCTCCCACACACCGCTATCAGAGACCATCATACGCGTGCATTTATTTACTATCTTTTCTAATAGGTCAGCTTCTTGGGGACAGAAAATCCATCTCACCGTGTAATGCGGTAAATGTAGGTTCTTAATCTATACTGGCACACTGATGGGGTAAAATGAGTGAACGGCCACTACAAAGAGAAATACCTTTCATTTTCAGTACCCTCTCCCAGCACATAAAATGGTTATGTCAAATTTTTTAAAGGCACCAATTTATATTTAAATTCTGAAGAAAAAAAAAACTTTTGAGATGGTAAAGAAACTCATGCCAAGACCTAAAGCTATATATCTCTGATTCATGCATTTGAATTCCGGCCAGAAGTACCTGAAGTGAACTCCGAATCTGGTGGCTGGGAGTTATCTAATGTTTTGCCAGCACCCACCTCTCAGCAGTCACGTTCCTGTGACACGCTCTGCAAGGCTTCCAGGTCAAGGCGCTGCCTGCAGCGCTCACAGCTGCATCAAAGAGCGAATCCCATTATAGCGAGCCTCCCGTGGACTCTCGCTCCCCGTTGCTATCACACAGCGAGTGGCGTCCCCTTCCTTCCCAGGGACAAGGGCGGGCGTGGGAGTGAGCGTGAGGCCCCCAGGTGTCTGTTGGTGGACGGGCCCAAGCCCAAGGACAGCTGGGCTCCTCCCTGCAGGTCTCCAGTGGTTGTTATGCTGGGCTCCCCCAGAGGACGGCCGATTTGGACCTGCACCCTTGTCTGTGATGCACTAACTGGTCAGGGGAGCCATGGTTCCCGGATCTGACATAATACCCTACTCGTCTACCAGAAAACCCAGTCCACCCGACACAGGGTCAGTGCTTGACAGAAAGTGCCCTTGAGCACAAGAGGGAAAGACTGGAGCTTGCCTGCCTCTCCCTGCGTGGGGGTGGCCTGAAGTTTAGAAAACTCCTGCTGGCGCCGCGGCTCACTAGGCTAATCCTCCACCTTGCAGCGCCGGCACACCGGGTTCTAGTCCCGGTCGGGGCGCCAGATTCTGTCCCGGTTGCCCCTCTTCCAGGCCAGCTCTCTGCTGTGGCCAGGGAGTGCAGTGGAGGATGGCCCAAGTACTTGGGCCCTGCACCCCCATGGGAGACCAGGAGAAGCACCTGGCTCCTGCCTTTGGATCAGTGCGGTGCGCAGGCCGCAGCGCACTGGCCGCGGCGGCCATTGGAGGGTGAACCAACGGCAGAGGAAGACCTTTCTCTCTGTCTCTCTCTCTCACTCTCCACTCTGCCTGTCAAAAAAAAAAGAAAGAAAACTCCTGAGAATGTCCAGTTATTTGGCTTCTATCTATAGTGATAAATACTCTCTTCACTAAATTATACCCTTCTTGTCATGAATCCTATGTTATGTGATATTAATATCCCTGTTTTCAAGAAAAATAGTATATATTTGCATGTATATAATATCTACATATGAAGTGAATATGGCAAGATGTTAAAAATTGTTAAATCTGGGGCTGGTATTGTGGCATAATGGGGTAAGCCGCCACCTTCAATGCCAGCATCCCATATGGGCACTGGTTCAAGCCCCAGCTGATCCACTTCCAATCCAGCTCCCTGCTAATGTTCCTGGGAAAGCAATGCAAGATGGTCCAAGTGTGTGGACCCTTGCCACCCAGGTAGGAGCTCTGGAAGAAACTCCTGGTTTCTGGCTTCAGCCTGGCCCAGCCCTGGCCATTGCAGCAATTTGAGGAATGAACCAGTAGATGGGAGATCTCTGTATCTCTACCTCTCTCTCTTTCTCTCTCTCTCTGCCTTTAAAATAAATAATTTTTTTAAAAAGTTGTTAAACCTTAAAATGAGTTTCTAAAATGCTTCTACAAGCACAATGAAAAAAATAAATGTCACACTGTACATAACTATGTGTAATTATCATTAAAATATTTTTAATTAAAATAAAGAAAGTGGCTAAAGTCATGAGATCCTCTGAGGGCACAAGTGAATGCCCTTCCCCTGAGACGTGCATGGCTGGGAACATCCACGACTCTGTCACTCACCCGGGTGCTGTCTGGTACGTCTGAAGCCAATTCCTAAGACCCTTCAGCCCACTTTTTGGAAGAAAGCGCAGGAGGAAGCAGTGGAGGAGGGGTGGGTGTGAAGCAGGTGTGCTAGGCACTGATGACCAGCCAGTTTGAGTCCAGGGAATCCAAACAGCCACACACACAGCAGGTCACGGGGGGTTGTACCTGTGGACAGGCAGCAAGGGACAAGACTCCTGAGCTCATCTCCAGCTGGTCCCAGGCTCGGGAAAGCGGCAAGGGTGCGTGGAGCCTCATCCGCATGTGCCCCACTGGTACTGCCCTGGTGCTGCCTATCCTGAGTCCCTGGGCACTGAAGGACTTCCTGCCCTGGGGGCACCGACACAGGGCCCAGGTTGTGCTGGACGGTCTGTCACAGCCTCCAATGCTGCACTCCCAACACATTGTACATTTGTCCTTGAGAACCAGGAGCAGGAAGTGGAGTGGATGGGGTGTCCTGGGACAGGACCGTCCACAGCCTGGGAAGTGAAGTAGCAAGAACCCAAGTGGCATCACCTCCAGTGTGACCAGGCACCGGCCACTTTGACTTTTGAGAGAAACTGGTCGTTGACACGTGGATGGATGGTTCTAAGACTCCTTCCAGCCCTGAAATTCAATGACGTTCTACTCGCAAAGTCTTCATCAAAACTTTTCCCTTGTCAACTCATTATCAAGCTGACAAAGTTCTCTAGGAACAACAAAAAAAAAAAAAAAGTTGCTAAAGTCTTTCACCCTTTAGGGAAAAAAATAACATTTCCAAAAATAAGAGGTTCCCCCAGATAGTTATCTGGCTTGGAACGTGGCTGGGCTGTGAGAGAGCCAATCAGGAGGCTTTCTCCGACTCCCACGCCCCTGCCTCCCACCAGCCTGTGAAGCACTCGCGATGGCAGTGAGCACGGACGTCAGAGTCTGCGCAGCAAAGGCAGAGCCGCCAATGTGCTCAGCAATCTAACAAGTCCTGGCCTAAAGGATCCCACCTTGCCGGCGCCGCGGCTCACTAGGCTAATCCTCCACCTTGCAGCGCCAGCACACCAGGTTCTAGTCCCGGTCGGGGCGCCGGATTCTGTCCCGGTTGCCTCTCTTCCAGGCCAGCTCTCTGCTGTGGCCCGGGAGTGCAGTGGAGGATGGCCCAAGTACTTGGGCCCTGCACCCCATGGGAGACCAGGATAAGTACCTGGCTCCTGCCATCGGATCAGTGCGGTGCACCAGCCGCAGCACGCCAGCCATGGCGGCCATTGGAGGGTGAACCAACGCAAAGGAAGACCTTTCTGTCTCTCTCTCTCTCACTGTCCACTCTGCCTGTCAAAAAATTAAAAAAAATAAAAAAAAAGGATCCCACCTTGCTTTAGAAATTACACCTAATTACACCTAAGCTGATGCACGAAGTTCACGGGGAGGGCGCAAGGGTTCAGGTCCCACATTGACAAGGTCCAGAAAATACCAGTGCCGCCTGTCCCGGGAGACGAGTGTCCCACGGTTATCAATACCCACGGACACGTCCACAGTGTTGGCTTCAGGCAGTGAGAGCTGAGTGGTTGGTTGCTCCGTTCCATGATTCAGCAGCCAGGACTCAGCCTGTGCTGGGACTCAAACCTCGGAAACAAACTCCCTGCTTCACCCTGGTGGAAAGATCTAGATGATGGAGGCACGAGCAAATCGAGGAGCGAGATGCCATCAGCTACTGAGCAGAGGAACCAAGTGGAAGGACCGTCGCCGTGTCTCAGGTGGGTGGAGGGCGTGGAATTGTCTCTTCTGAGGGCCCAGGCCCCAGCCCCACAGACCAGCTGTTAGTGCCAGGATGCAGAAGTCAGCCAGATGCTCACGCGTCTCTCACCTCCACTCCCCGAAATACAGCCTGGAGAAGCAGGGGTGAATGAGTGCCGCCTCAAACCACACCCACCCTGCCCTTGGCCTCAGAAGCAGAGGGGCCTGGCTCAGGCTTGTTGTCTCAGGGCCATGTTTACACGGCTCCCGCTGACACCATCAGCCTCACGACAGGCAGATTGGCGTGGTAACGGTCGCTCTGCCCCTTCCTCTCATCTCCGTCTGCCTCCAGGATGTTGCCTGAGAAGGGATTTCACAGCCCACTCACACAAGGTCTCGCCGCCATGCTAACCACCCCAGATACGCCACCTAGCAGAGGGAGGGGTGGCTTTTGCCCCAAGGCTGAGGAGGGATTCTCCCACAGTGCCTCGTCAGGACTGCACTGGGCGTGCAGCGTCCGGGTGCTCCTCACCACTCCCCGCGAGGGCACCGTCTTCTGCCGGAAGCTCAGGCTCACTGGTTGGAGATTTGTCGCTGCTCAGAGACGACTCCACGCGGATGGCTTCTTAGAGGGAAGTTGTTTGAAGCTCAGTTCACAATATTTATTGACTGCTCACTCTGATGTAGACTCCAGGAGGCAGTTTTTGACATGTGGAGCAAGTATGGCATCCACCAGACTTCATTATTCCGAAGTACAGTGAGACTCCACAAAGCACCCAGGTTCTGCGAGTGAAACGTGCTCCAGACAACGAAAGGCACCCAAATAACTTATTTCGCGTTCTCCTATGAGCAATTAAGAGGAAGCAACACAAGTTAGAAAGCGGAGGCCGTGAATCCAGAGGTAATTTATTCAGACTTCCTACTCTCCAAGGATAATAAAAAGTAGTAAATCCTGAACTAAACAGAGTCAGCAGCAGGCAGCCTTTCCAAATGTATTCTGTTCTGGGCTAGCGATGATTAAATCAGACAGTGATTCACTTTAAACTACAATGATGTTCGGTGCTGCATATGTTTAAAACATTAGCCTTCTCTGCAGCTTGATACAAAGGCTATGATTCCTTCATGTTTTTCCTGCAATAATTCTTAGATTTTTTTTTCTTCTTCACAGCCGAGAGGGAGTTTTCACAACCAGATCCCTAGCATGAGTCAGTTCCTGTTGATGAGAACACACATGATTTTGCAAAACAGGAACCTTCCACTCATTGAACAAGGGCACTGTTTCTTAGAGTCTCCTGCAAATGGAAAATGGAGAGACCAGTTAATAAATCTGGGGAAAACGGAAGAGGCTTTGTAACCCTTGCCTCCACATCCCCAAATCAATGGCTTCCATTTTCAAGAATCATAATCCATGATAAGAAATACATTTTACCCTGGTGGCATGTATACGTCTTACTGGGTGCCAAGCACACAAACACACAAATGCACACATGTTAAGTTTTTACTGAAACCATTCTTCATTCTCTAAGAGATGCTCTCTGATAGTTTTAATTCTATGTCATTAATTCTATGTGCTGGTCGTGATAGAAGCATTGTCCTCATGACCCATCAATGAGTCACAATTTAAGAACCTGCTATTCCCCAGGTTAGAGTGAGCAGCCAAGAGGAGAACTCAGGCGCACAGAGGTAAGTGCACAAGGCAAACAAGCTCGTATCACACAGTGCATGTCCACAGAGGAGCAGTGTGCACTGGCTGCCCTCATGCAGCCCTGAGTTAAAGCATAGCCACCGCTTCTGCATGCATCCAACCTGACGGTTTTGAAAAGAAGCCTAAAACAGCCCGTCAGGTAGAAGCTCAAATGTCCAGGATTCATATTTCCAGAATTTAAGGATTTTTTAAAAAATGTATTTATTTATTTGAAATTCAGAGTTACACAGCGAGAGAAGGAGAGGCAGAGAGAGAGAGAGAGGTCTTCCATCCACTGGTTCACTCCCCTAGTCGGCCAGAGCTGGGCCGATTTGAAATCAGGAGCCAGGAGCTTCTTCCAGGTCTCCCACATGGGTACAGGGGCCCAAGAACTTGGGCCATCTTCTACTGCTTTCCCAGGCCATAGCAGAGAGCTGGATCGAAGTGGAGCAGCCGGGACTCGAACCAGCGCACACATGAGATGCTGGCATGGTAGGCGGTGGCTTTACCTTCTATGCCACAGCACTGGCCCCAAAGATTTTTTTAAATAGTGGGATAAGACTTATAATCCATTAATTGGAAGTGAAAATGTACCACTTTCTCTTTAGTTCTCTCTTTCTGACCTAAACAGCTGATCTCTGAAATTCCTTGCACGGCAAGGGATAAAGTTTGGAGCAATGTCCTGATATCAGTGTAGACAGCCTGGGACAGAGATGATCCCACCCAAACTCCTCGTCTCCCCTGCCTGTCCTGGAGCTGTGTCGCGGACGAGGCTGCCAGATGGGCCCACTGCCCTCTGTCGTCACAGCCTCCAGTGCAGGAGTTTATCCAAGTGCTGGTCACCGAAATGCGAGGGGGAGAAACCTGCCACTCCTAGACCTGCGCTGGCAGAAGTCCACTCCCTCCTCCTGTGCAGGCTGGAAGCAGAGCTCTCGGGGAAGTGGGGAGGAACCTGGACCCACATGGACAAACGATGACCAGCAGCACGCACACGGGCTTACAGGGAGACCAGGAAATAAAGGCCTGTGGTGTTCACTGTCTGACATGGGAGTGTTGATTTGGTACAGTTTCTAGTACCACATGAACCATCTCGGCACCTCAAACCTCGCTGGTATGTATAGTGCACCTGCTTCCCGCTCATCCTAGTCTTAGGTGAAAACTCTCAGCTTTCAGGTTTTCTCCATCCTCCTCCTTCTCCTGGTAGTTTTCCCATGGTAAGGGGTGTCTGTTGTCAGCGAGACAGAAGCCCACCTCCACCAGACCTCCACCGGCCTCTCTGGGGAACTAGCTCACCCCACCTGACCCTGGGCACTGCACTGACTTCTAAGCTGGAAAACTCAAGGGCTGCCGGTTCACAGTCATTGGGAAGACCCTGATGAAGCCCCGTTGTCCTCCAGTGGCACCACCAATGTGCTGATTCCTGCAGAACCAAGCACCAGCCATGGCTGGTGGGGGGATCTCTACTCTCTGCCCCCTAACTGTTCCCCCAGGGAGGATGCAGGCGGTCTGGGTGCATTCACAGGACATGTAGACCAAGGGAGAGGTCAGCGCAATCTCCAGCCCCCTCCTCACTTTCCCAGCCGTCTGTACCTCTGCAGCCACCCCACGTGGTACGGTGCATCTCAGGGGGCCCTATGTCCAGTGGGAATAGTCAAAAGCCACTCTGCTTCTAGTTTCCAGGTCTCTGTCTTGTTTTTCTGTCTTTTTGCCTTTATTTCCTGTATTGGTGGCGCTAGGCTCAAAAAAGCAGGAACAGGAGGACTCATTTCTCTGCCCCCCACCTCATCCCCTCCCTAAATTATTCTTTGCTCCCAAGGACACACACAGTTCTCCTTTGCGAGCCCATGGGGACTCTTGGTCCGTTGTTATCTTGCTCCTTTCTGACCCTACAGACTGTCCTGTTGTGAGCAATCCCTGGCCTCTTTTTCCGCACTTAACCTTAACGGCAGACGGAGCAAGCGGAGAAGCTGGCTTCCGCACGCCTCAGCAGGCACCTGAAATCGATTTCTGTGATGCACTCGACCTGGTGCATGCAGAGCTGGGGGGCAGGGATGCGGGAGACGAGTTGGCGCGAGCTTCTGATGTCCAGCAGAGGCGGACGCACAGCGGCAGTTCAGGTCTTGCGATAGGTGCTACCCCCCAGCACACGACACGGGCTCCCGGGGAGAGGCGTTGCTATGGAAACCAAGCTGGTGGGACCGGAATTAGCCACTGTGACACGGTACCCATCCCAGCCTCCTCTTTTGTGAAGGATGAGAATCCCCATGACATACACAGCCCAGTGATAGACACCTGTCTCCACACCTTGCTCACCACAGCACACCTGCTCTGCCTCTAAAACAGTATCCCAACTATTTTTTGAGGATTATTTTTTAAATATATATATACATCTAAAACTGATTCTGTGGCCCAAGGATTGCATCTCCAAAGGCTGCCGGCTGTGGGGGACATTTACTGTCACTAGGTAGAGCCTGTGTTCAGCATCTTGCCCAGGCATGGGCAGTGTCTGAGTGATGGGGACAGCGGATGCAGCCAGACGGGAACAGCACTGCCTTCACCCTCTGGTTAAGCAGTCTCATTACATCATTAATGAGCTGGAAATGAAGTTTATATAAGAATCCCATGAAATCGTGATAGCATTTTTAATATGTTTAAATTAATAGAGCATACGTTATAGATATTTCTTATTCCAGAATGAGTTTAGTCATTCCCGATAACCTTTCCTGTCCTCTTTCCTCTAAAGTCCTACTGTAAAATCCCAGTCTCCGCGCTGCTGGCTTGCAGGTGCCTGAGCCACAGGCACCTCCCGGGCCATGACGGTGCAGACTCACTCAGCAGGGTTTTCCCTCGGGGTTGCCTCTCATTGTGGCTGCAAACTGTGGCCCTGAAGACACAGCCTTGTAAGGAGAATTTGGGAAGAAGATTGTGGACCTTACAATTTCCCTCACTTTGCCTGAAACATTTCTGGTGTCCAGGAGCACGCAGTAAAGCAAGCATGCTAGATGACAACTGGTCTACCAGAAGCGGCATCTTGTGGGAAGTTGGGCAATTATGTGTCTAAAGTGGTTTAAACACAATCATTCTTCAAGACAGGAAGGTGAACTCAATGAGGTCGTAAGAATAACTGCCCACAGTAGCATACATGCACCACTCCAGGCAGGAATGCCCTGTGTTGTCAACACCCTATAAGCAAGAGGCTACACGCCCCCTTACAAGCTGCTGCACATTTAACCACTCTTCTTTCCACCCACCAGGGAACCTGAGCCCTTCCAGAGGTCACAGGTGATGCTGGGAATCGCCATGGACACCCTCCTAGGCAAGGCGGACTGGTGCACACACATACATTTTGATTAAAGAAGTACAAATCAATGTTCACAGTAGCCTCATTATGAAATATTGAGAAGGAATGACGGTGGTGGGTTGAATTGTGTCCCTCATAATTCCTATGTTGAAGTCCTGTCCCTCACAGTGTGACCTTATTTGGAAATGGGGTCAATGCAGATGTCATTAGCTAAGTAAAGCTGAGGTCACAGAGGAGGCGAGGGGGCCTCTGACCTAACCTGACCGCTGTTGTTACGGGAAGGGGACGTATGGAGACAGACATGCAGGAAGGAGAAGCCAGAAGACAAAGTGGAGACCGGGGTGATACGTTTAAAAGCCGAGGGTTGTCAGAAACTCCAAGCACCCACTGGAAGCTGGGAGAGAGACCTGGACTGGATTCTACCTCCAGCCTGAGAAAATTCAACAGCATGGTTCAGACTCCCAGCCTGCAGAGCTGCGAGGCAACACACTCCTGTTGACACTGCCTGGTTTGTGGCCGCTTGTCAGGGGAGCCTCAGCAAACAAACACAACAGTTGTGTGAGGGTCCTGAGGTTGATCTATAACCCAACAGCTCATCGCCACTGTTACCGAATTCACCAAAACTCACTTGTCCATTCTGCTGCTGGCGGGTTGTTCCCTAGCTCTGCAGCACGGCCTGCAGCTGCCGCTGGGTTGCAGATACACCTGCCTCCTGATACATCCGTGCCGAGTCCCCTCCAGTGCCCAGCACTTGAGCTGCTGGAAAAAAGATGCATGTTTATTCCATGCAAATTGTTTAAAAAGTGGATCTACCAATTTATATGCCCACCATATAAACAGTTCTCATGTCCCTCACACTTGCCAAAGCTTGGTGTCAGCAGAATTTTTTTTTTTTTTACCACTCTGCTTGATATAAAAGTTTATCTTGGCCAGCACTGTGGCATAGCGAGTAAAGCCGCTGCCTGCAATGCCAGCATTCCATGTGGGCACCAGTTCAAGTCCCAGCTGCTCCACTTCCAATCCAGCTCTCTGCTATGGCCTGGGAAAGCAGTAGAAGATGGCCCAAGTCCTTGGGCCCCTGCACTCACGTGGGAGACCCTGAAGAAGCTCCTGGACCCTGGCTTCAGATCAGCACAGCTCTGGCCGTTGTGGCCATCTGGAGAGTGAACCATCGGACGGAAGACCTCTTTCTCTGCCTCTCCTCTCTCTGTGTAACTCTGACTTTCAAATAAATAAATAAATCTTTAAAAAATGTATATCTCATTAGATCGCAGAGATAGATTCATTGATTGACTTCTATTTGATAT